TGATGTTTTAGTTGTTGCTAAGTACCGCTTACACTGCTTAAGGACTTCTCAGCTTCTCATGCCCTGCCAGTAAGAAGCTGGGAGGGGGCACTGCCAGGACAGCTGACCCAAACTGGCCAAAGGGATATTCCATACCATATAGTGTCACGCTCAGTATATAAGCTGGGGGGAGTTGGCTGGGGGTCGGTGACCACTGCTCGGGAACTGGCTGGGCATCGGTTGGTGGGTGGTGAGGAGTTGCATTGTGCATTACTTATTTTGTATATTCTTTTATTGTTATTATTATTTTCCCTTTCTTTTCTGTCCTATTAAACTGTCTTTATCGCAAGCGACGAATTTTACTCCCCCTCCCCCCCCAACTCTCTCCCCCATCCTACTCGGGGCGGGGACGGAGTGAGCGAGCGGCTGTTAGCTGCCTGCCGGGTTAAACCACCACACCGGTGCAGCTCCTTCTCTGGCTTTGCTGCTAACCGTGACTGTGTTCTCCTGGGCAGGATGGGGATCGGAAACTGCTGCATGTAATCCCCTGCGACGAATTTTACTCCCCCTCCCCCCCCAACTCTCTCCCCCATCCTACTCGGGGCGGGGACGGAGTGAGCGAGCGGCTGTTAGCTGCCTGCCGGGTTAAACCACCACACCGGTGCAGCTCCTTCTCTGGCTTTGCTGCTAACCGTGACTGTGTTCTCCTGGGCAGGATGGGGATCGGAAACTGCTGCATGTAATCCCCTTTTTTTCCCAGGACAGGCTCTTCCAGAAGGTCCAGTCTCTCCTGGGGGAGTGCAGCAAGTCAGCTCTTGTTGAGGATCAGTCAGAGGGAACAGCTCTGGTGCAGTAAGGAAGGAGCCTGTGTGTAGAGAGTGGTACGGCAAAGCACAGTCTGTTTTGAATGCAGAAAATTTCAGGGCAGGGTCAATTGGTTCTGTGGGCACTGGTTCCAGAGCTTGTGTCCACGAGAGCCCACTGACCCTTCGGAGGTTGTCCATCCGGTTTACAAGGGAGCGGTAAGCCAGTGGATGCAGCAAAGTGAGGAGCCAAAAACTCTGAAATAATCTTGTTCCTCTGGGTGCAGTGGCATGGCATGGGTGGGATGCTGTGGAGAGCTGAGCCCCACATCAGCCCCTCTGTTGTAAGCCAGCCACCCTGCTATGTTACCCAGAGGGGGGCCTCTACTCACAGGCTGTTGGTGTTACTGGGGAAGGAGAGTCATGGGGCAGGGGCAGTTGTAGCTGCAGGAGGAAGCTGAAATCTGAGTGCCGCAGAAAGCGCTTGCTGCTCAGAGCAGCTCCTGAAAGGTTGGTTTGGGGACAGGTGTACAGGGACCTGAATCGCTAATGTTTCTCTAGAACTTCTGGAAAGCAGTCAATGAGTGAGTGGTGGGGCAGGGGGTTAATTTGATGGCAAATTATCTTTAAATTACAGTGGTATAGCTCCACTGACTTCTGGTTTGTTGGAGTGGAGTAAATGAGCAAATGTAGCCTCTAGGGCTGATACAGGTAACTGCAGGAAAGGAATTCAGCAGCCTTCGCTTTTCTTGTATTGACCGTGTCTGAGTTGCTCACTTCTGTCATACTGCTTTTTTAAGAGTCTAATCCCCCTAAGGTAACCTACAAAAAGAGATTTAGGTTGTGACTCTTCTTCATTTAATTTTTTTCCACTGTAGAGATCCAGTAAAGCACTTTTTAAAAAAACAGTTTGCCCTGCATGTTTATCCTTGCAATCTGAGGATGTCATGTCTTATCTTCCCTGTTGCTTGCTGAGAAGCTCCTTGGAAATCCTCTACAGTCCTTTTTCTTCTATCCTTGCCTGATACTAGAAGTGGAGCTCTTCCAGCTGCTCGTGAGATTTTAAAAAACTGAATGACACTTTAAAATCCGTGTGCGAGAGTCCAGCTAAAAGTCCCTTTCTTTTTAAGTTATTCATACTTCACCATCTTGGAATTGATGTTTTCTAGTCTTCCATAGAGAATTCTAGGAAGACCAGGTTGGACAAGACCTTGAGGAAGAAATGCTTTAATCTCAAAATTAAATTCCTCTAGTTTTTTTGTATCTGACAGAAAGGTGCAGATAAAGATCTTATGTGTTTTTCCTAAAAGGGTGTTCTTCTTGCAGTAGTTTTCCTGAGCAAAAGTCAAAGCATGTGTAAGAAGGGCGAAGGATGCTAGCATGCAATCTTCTGTTACACAGAGGATGTGAGGGTTTTTTGCCATCTGTGTAGAAAGCTGATGCCTTTCAAACCTTCATGTTAGAAGCTCTTAATACCTTCTACTGCTCTTTAACCTCTCCTCTGTCTAGCAACTGCATCTTAAAGAGCAGATGGAATTGTTTCAAGGATGGCAGGTCCTAATCTCAGTAACAGTTCCTATCCATTATAGGGTATGAAGTGAAATGATCTGTGAGTGGGTTTATCTCAGATCCCACGTAGCATTTTTTCTCAGCAGCAGCAAGAAAGGGAAATTATCAGGCAGTGAGGAAAAGCTGTTTATTTTTAACTTACCCTTTCTTTTTAAGTTCTATTTCATAATTAAAGGAGATAAGGAGTGGAAGCCAATGAAAATACATAGCTAAAGGGATAAGCTGATCTCAAGTTCACTGCAGAGATTACGATAAGTAGTGGGTAACACAGTAGAGACTTTGGGGCCTCTTGTTCCTTCCCTGTCCCCCTCCTAGAGTATCAAACTGAGTTCTTAGCTGCCTTTCAAAAGTGACGCAGGAGGGCTGATTTGAAGGATACTGCTTACAGAGCTCACTGCTGCCCTCAGAGTTTACTCCTCCTCACAGTGGTTTGAGGATGTTGGGTATCTGAAGAGATCTCTACTCAGAGCTAGCAAGGAGGAATCCTGCTTCTTCATGGAGGAGCACGTACATCCGTTGTCTGGGCACACCCGTATGGCACTACACGTGGCTGTGTGGATGTGGGCACAGGAGAGTGAAGAGGGGCCCAAGGGAAGGCTCATGGGGAATGGGGTAGTCCTGGGTAAAATGCCTCCTCTCTGAGTTACTGCTGGAGAAGCATGTTCTACTCCTGTGCTTTCAAACAAGGTTTCTCTCCTGCAGCTTATTAATCTTGGTCGACTTGGCTTCCTCAGATTGACAGGAGGATAGCCCTCTGATTCATGCAAGTTGCTAGGTTCTTTATTGCTTAGAAGAAGGTGCATTATGCTATTACTCTCCATCACTAGTGGATAGTTGCATCCCAGATTAAATTATTCCTGTACCCAGGTGGCTTTCTTTCATCCTTGCCTGCGTCTCTGTGATACTTCTCACAGCTTCTGCACACAGGAACAAGAAGGCCAGACTGAATTTGGAGATGGCTGTCATTGCAGGGGGTTCTTCCTCTCTGCCAGAGGAGCTGACAAGCAGCATTAGAAAATGAGTCCTGGAGAGGAGGCTGCATGCTCTTGCAGCAGCAGAACACTGACAGGCTGTTCTTAAATAATCTTGCAAAATACTGATTGCTACCCCTAGCTTGCCTCTGCAATGCTGGAGGACAGCTGACCTGCAAAGAGACTCTGCTGTGTGACCATCTTACCTGGAAACTACTTCTTTTTTCCTCTCAGTCCTCATTCGGATGATGCCCTGTGGCAGGCCGTAGCCTGCTTCTAAGTGTTTGCATGAGTGTCTCTGTGTACCACTGCCATATGCAAAGTTTGGGGGGAAACAAGACAGGGAAAAAAGTTTTTGAAGGGAGCCCTAAGCAAGTCTCGGATTCCTCAAGTAAAGGATATAAGAACATGATTCAATCCTGTAAAGGGCAGGAGCTGACAGCTGCTGAAAAGGGCAATTGAGGGTAGTGTTTACATTGTAGGGAGGACAAGAGGAGAAGTAGAAGGGTTCCTTATTGTTCTGGTCACTGTTGTCCTACAGCCTCTGCAATGCTTTTCTAGGATCTCTCCTGAATTGTGAATGCCTTGGGGCACCTTATACTACATAGTCCTCCTGGCTGAGGCTTTTCATGAGTAGAGGCTACTGTAACGCAAACCTCGGATGTTGATATTCTGTCTGTGCTTCTGTTTAGTTCTCAAATCAAGTGGTAACAGCCTAAGATGTTCATGTGTTTAAGAGAATTGTTTCAAGCATATGTTTTGCCCAGGAGTGCTGAGTTATATGGTTCCTGGTAGGAAGATTATCGTTGCTTACCATCTCACAAATGCTTTGAGGAATGTGTTTGTCCATGCAATGCTTTGAAGCTAAAAAGCATTGTGAGAATCCCTCTTGGTGTTCCCTAGTTAGGGAAATGAATAGTTCAATAGGACAGAGACGTGTAACTATGAATTTACAAGTATAGCCCAGTGCTGGGAACAGAGTAAGGTGGTAATATAAGCTGGAGTGCTTTGATTGCAGGGAACGAAGATAATAAAGTATCTCTTGGGCAAGAAGACCTGGATTTGTGTCTCCATCTCTTTCCAAAATCAGAGTCCGTACCAGAGTTGGTCTTCTCTTAGTGCCTGTCAGAAGTTTGTTCCCATCAGGAGAGTAGTGCAGTGCTCTGTATGGAAGCTGACCTGAGCAGCTGTAGAAGCTGGCGGTTTAGCAGATTGTGAATGGTGATTAGCAAGCCAGGAGGGAGGTGTGCTGGCAAAACTAGCATTGGGAGGACCATGGGGTTGGGCAAACCTGTGTTTTCATAGTGTCTACCGTGTTACATTTGGGTGTACACATGGTAATTAGCTGCTTAATTTAATGAGATCATGTCTACTTCTTCTGGTGACATAATAGTATTTGGAAAACTGCTGCTGTCATAGGCTCATCCGCTATT